CGAGGCAATTTTATAAAACTTTGAAATTCAGTAAATTACAAGCAAATATCTCTAATCTTGTTCGTCTTACAAAGTCACATATCGAAAATGTTAAACAAACGTTACAAGGATTACTTGTTCTTCATACCGATGAGTCACTTATTTTAACTGAATTATCAATAATATGCCACATGAAATTTCTTCAGTTTTGTAAAGACATTACTCAGAAAATTAAGACGAATATACAAAATAAGTTGAAGAGTTCAATTGATGATCGAAACCGCGTAGATGTCTTTCCGGTGAATCCTGATTTAATTGTTCATTTGATTTACGCTTCCGGTGGGTAAATCTTTTGAGAGATTCGTCATCGCGCCTACTGAGACACACATTAAGGAAATCAGTGCTTAGTTCAGATTACTATTCTATGGCAAATTGCAAAGAAGGATAGTAGTTTTTAAGTGCAAACAAGATATCATCAATTATTATGTCAGAGGCCTTGACCACTGATGAATTCAAGACAGACCTTTGTGTACAAAAGAAATATGTAAAGTCGCTGTTTCTACCTTGGTCGTAGAGGAGTGAAAATTTTTTTATTTTTCACTTTGTTTACTTAGTTAATCCATGTACCTTTCCCTTATTATTAATGTCATTTTTACTATTGTTACTATTATTATAACTGTTTCTGGTATTATTTCATTTGCCCCACTGGTCATTCTAAATCAAAATTTCGCTTTGCAATGTTGAATTCTATCTTATGAAATTTCACATCATGTTAGGTAAAGTTTTCTTTTCTACTTGCCTACTAATCCTTCTTGTAATATAAAACCCGTCTCTCCATCATCTATACATCCTGTGAACTATTCTGTATAAATTTTCACAAGTTTGTTTGTAGAGATTTGATTTGTTTTTCAGGCTCGACCATGGATTGATGTGAGTTGGAGAATCATCGGAAACTAGCAGGGAGTGTTGGACAGGTGTTTCGTCAGTCTAGTTTGTTAGTCATCGACAGTACGCAGCCACCTCGCTGCCACAGTTTGAACCCAGGACTTTCTGGTTACAAGGCGAGCTCGTACACCAGTGGCTTAATGGTCCTGGGTTCGAACCTGTTGGTGGGCTGGGTGCGTCCCGCTGAAGGTTCCCAAACTAGGGAGAAACAGATATCTGGCATTATTCCATTGCTGGTTTTCCAAAGGTTCTCTAACCGATGTGTCAGCTCATGATGAAATCCTGTGACGAATCAATCAAATCCTTGATAACCAATACTTGAGTAAAAGAAAAGCTTGAACAATAACTGGATTTAGTAAATGTGCAAGTAGACAGACAAACCGATAACTCAGATATCGCTACTTCAAATCATTTCGCATACCATCTTTCCATTGAAACGTGATATTTTATCAAGTGGGTATGCAATAAAGTGATTGTACGACCAGTTATATTAGGATAAAATTTAAGTTTAGTTTCTTAATCTACTAATTTATATATTTTATCAAAGAATAATGTTGGGAATTTAGAATTCAGTGTGCATAACCACATAATAGATAATAAGTAGATAATTGTCTATGCCAGACGACAACCATGAACACACTGAGGATGTGGCTGTTATAAATACACACTGCTACATACCAAAAAACAACAGAGATTAAACAAAGAAGGAAGATATCTACAAACAAACGAGAACAATAAACGACAAGGTAGAAGAATAAAACTTGTGCTGCATTGTGGCGCTAGAGTATAATTCCATTATGGGTAAAAAATTTTATGTTGAAAAAGTCTCACAGAGTGTTATACAATAATATTTACTGATGATCACGTTTCCAGCACCCCAATTTATTACTGCAGCTCATAATCATATGAAGACACTGCTCACACAACTTTCTAACTTCGTGTATATAATTCCATCATTATTTTTCATCGCTTGACTCGATTGGTAGTAGTATTTTCCATATTTCCGGTATGAATGATGGGTCATTCTTATTGCATGTGTTTGGTGAAAACTCGATGAACCAGGATTCAGTAATCAATTTCTCTCCCTCTCTCCACCTACCTAGATTACTTTTTAGAATTTTAACCCTCTCTCACCTCATTGTGTGGTTGTGTGTTAATGCACGCAGTGCAATGCAGTGCTGACCTTTTTTCTAAATTACTTATCTTCTCGGGGTCAACCATTCTTACCTTAGCTAAATTCTTATGTTCTGACAATCTGACTACCTGCGACCTACTTGTTTGACCTATGTAGTTGACCTCACAGTCATTGCAGGGTATTTTGTAAATTATATTATTTTGTCTAGTTAGGTCAACCTACGGAGTCATTCAGCCTACCTACAGAGCTCCCCCTGATTGAGCTTGTAGGTTTAAGTGCAACTCTAATTCCTGCTTTATTAAGAATCTTACATAGGGTCTCAGATGTCCTCTCTTTATATGGTATAACTGTAGATGGCTTATATTCTCTCTTATTTATGTCATCATTACTAGTTTCCTCATTAGTTTTATTTTGCTTTTGACCTTTTCTGATCTTCTTAATGAATTTTATAGGATAGTTAGTTATTTAACACCAAGCAACTATTCTTCCATCTGTTTCATTTCATCGTTTAGGTCTTTTCTTGTACTACTTAGTGCTACTGCTCGGTTTATTAGACATTTAACTAAGCCTGCCTTAACAGTTAACAGATGAGATGAATGAAAGTCTCAATGTCTATTAGAATGCGTTTACTTTTTATAACCGGCAGTGTACAGTCTACCTTCTTCTGTCCGTTTGATTTTATAATCTAACATAGCTAATTCTCTTTGTTCATTTTCTGATTCAAATGAGAATTTTATTCCCTCTATTAGGGAGTTTATTTCTGTGTGTCAAGATGCTAGAGAGAGATATGTTCTGTTTAGGACACTGTGAGTGAAAGTGTCATCCACATATCTCCGCCATATTTTTGTAGTAGGATTAAGTGTATTAAGACCAATATTTTCCCAGCTGTCTATAAAAATATCTACTACGATTGGGGATATTGGTGATCCATCCCATTGCTACACCTTCTGTTTGTTTATATATTTTGTCCTGGAATTTGAAGACAGTAGACGTGAGACAAACCTGAATTCCCAAAATAATTTTCTCAATGGGCAGCTTCATCCTGTGGGAAAGTTTGGGGTCAGAAGTTAGTTCTCTATCAACTGTTTCTAAGGCCATATTGATTGGTATATTCGTGTAAAGACTAGTTATATCAAAACTAACCATTGTTTCATCATTCTCTAGTTGAATGTTATTTAGTTCCCTTTTTATTTCATATGAATTAGTTAGTCTAGAGTTTGAACGATTTCTAATGGGGCATAATATTAGAGCTGAGTGTTTTGATAATTCATAAGTAGGTGTATTCGTGAAATCTACTACTGGGCGTATAGGGTAACCTGGCGTATGTATTTTAATAGTACCATATATTCTACTAGCATTATCAGCTTTAGGCATTAAATTAAACCATTTAGACTAGCCCAGTGACGATGGTTTTATTCTGCGTATTAAATCCACTGTAGATTTCTTAACCTTATTCATTACTGTATCTACAGGCTTCTTAATTTCCTCATATGGACCCGTCTTAATATGTTCAGTGACTCTCTTGATATAGTCAGATTTATCTAAAACTACTGTAGAGTTTCCTTTATCAACTTTTGTGATCACAATGGAATAGAATGGAATAAAGGATAAGATACCACATGGTGACGTTAAAATTCTAATTGGTAATATAAATCCCACACTGGAATACAACTTGTTATGAGTCCAGCCTAAGGTGCTTGGTTAATTGGATGAGAACGAAGAATTCTATGCATCCATTGCTTTTGTGTCTGGAAGCAGCGTGTACAAGCACAAGGATATACAAAAGACGTCATTGCTTTCAACGGATAAACACACTAAAAATCCGATAGACTTCTCTCTCGATCTAAAGAAAATGGAGAGGCAGACTAAAGGACCAAAGGTCAGGAAGAAGAGTAGGAGTATGTTTATGTTACTGTTTAGAGAAGGGAACCTTCAAGGTCAAGTTAAAAGCCTTGAATGTGGCTGCAGATAGACCTAAATTCAAGTTCATTTCTCAGAAAGCGAAAGATGAAACACCTCCACTGAGGCTATCACACGGAAGTTGGAGATATTACGTAGCATTACCAAAAAAGCCTGATGGAGGAACACTTGAATCCACTGGAAGTGATGGCGTTCAGAGGGATTGGATGTTAATATAAGAGGGTAGTGACAAGAGTATTGTTAAAGAACTATTCACGTTATTACGTAACTCTTCTTTAACAATCATTTGTGGCAACTCATCACTTTTGTTACTACCCTCGTATATCAACATCCATTTCCTCTGAACGCCTTCTGAATTACTTAACTCCACCAAAAACTTACTAATTGTATTTTCGTTTGACAAATTTAATGTACACACACACCTATACAAAATAACCATAGATAATACTTGAGATTGTATAGCTGTGAAAATGAATTCGCGGAGAACAGATTCTTCGCTGAACTACTGGTCTTCTCTCTAATAATGTTTGAATGGGGATTTTTTATGAAACAGAACTGGATTCAAATAAAAGTGACCTCAGAACACTGTATCAAATAACCAGGTTGCTGTCATCTAGAAGGTAAGCACCGATGCAGTCAATGAAAGATAGTAGACGAAGGGGTTCTAACCCAGGATCTGAAGGTGAGGCAGTAACTCATCGAAGAATGCATGAACCATTGTATTGGGTCTCAGTGGCTCAACGGTTTATGAGCTAGCTCGCCTTGTAACCAGAAGGTCGTGGGTTGGGACCATGACGGTCGATGGGTACTGCTGAAACAGCTGGCGAAACAGCTGTCTGGCAGTACTCGAGTGGTGGTTTTCCAATGGTTCTCTAACTAATGTGTCAGCTCATAATGAAATTCTCCAACCAATCAAAAACACTCCCTACAAAAATCAATACTTGAGAGTTTAGATTGAGTAATATACAAATAAAAGACCTTCTTTTATAATAATAATAATAATAAAAGTCATTCAACTAACCTTCATAACAATCTCGTACAGAATCAAAATAGACATAATAGTCTTCATGCTTCAGAAACAACAAGCTAAGCCATGATTCAAATGCATAAATTGGTACATAGAATAAAATACGCACAACCCATCTTTGTTCATTTGGACATGTATAATTAATTAAATGTAAATAGATCTGTTTCAATGAAAATTAAAAATAGGCAAAAACAATAAAATAAAACAATAAAACTGAATTAAAATTAAAATAAATGAAGCATAAGTTTAATTCGTTATTTCATTTTTTTTAAAACCAGACTATCCTTTTTCCTGAATACAAATGATAAAACTGTTTATATTTATCCTAGATGTTGTAAACCTAACTGACTTCAGCAACTCAGGGAATAATCTCGTTGACCTAGAATATGCAGATGATATAGTCCTTCGAGTTGAGGATGCTGACATAATGTAGAGTCTTCTGAACACCTCTAGGAATAGGAATCTTCGGATGTTTGGCATGCAATTCCCTCCCGTCAAATGTAGATGGTGCTACAGGACAGGACTGAACTGAACTACATGGACTCCTAGCTTAGAAATAGGGAGTGAAGTGGTTACTGGAGAGTGTTGACAACTTGACCAGTGCCAACGGTTTGATCGCTAACGAAATCTCACCATGGATACAAAAGGCTAGTTTCGCATATGCCAGTTTATGCCATCTCTGGCGTAGACATGATATCCGGCTATAGACCAAAGAACGTGCGTACTGCTCAGCAGCCCGCTCTGTCCTCCTTTATGGCTGTGAAACATGACCACTGAGAGTGGAAGACATTAAAAGACTAGCTGCCTTTGGTCACAAGTGTCTGCGTTCTATCTCCTATGTTAAGTGGTATAACAGACTGAGGTTAGGCGTTGGTTGAGTTCTAGGTAAGGATGAAAAATGAATAGACGAGTTTGTGAAGTTACACCGATTGAGATGGTTGGGACATATGTTACGTATTCTTAGCCACCGCCTTCCTCGATGGACTATGTTAGCTGATTGACAGAATGGATCAGGCTGGAAAACAGAAAGCTAATGGTGGTCAAATCAAAACATAGCTTCATCAGTCAATGAAATAAATCCACAACATTTAGTTTAAGCCAGTCTGCCACGTAAAGAGATAGGTGTAGACTTCCTGACTGACTGATTGTGGTCCCCAGGATGGTAAGAACCAATGAAGGCTGGAGACAATTGATGATATGGCTCAAAATCGTCTTTCTCAATGTCTGGCGCAGATGTGTCCACTCCTTTTGACTTATAGTATCCAATAAGACTGATATTGTTCTTCCATATTACTACTTTTTTTGCCTCATGTTTCTATTCATTATGTCTGTTTTAAATCTTTTTTTGCTTCCTTCTCTTGCTTTCGGTGTTAAGTGAAGTGTGGCAACTCGAACTACTGCACATCTCTATGTTAAAACCAGTCAGTCGATATAAAGTGAAAATGCTGAAGATAAATATTTCTTTCGTACTGAATTCATCTTGTATACCTCCCCTTTAGCCAACTCGCACTAACAATAACTTCTAGCTTTACATAGAAACGTTAACCTGTTAAGTATCTATTTTACGGATCAACGTAATTTTATGATATACAGTTTTGGTGAGTGTCATTTTTGCAAACGAATACTCTGTAGTGCACCTTCCACGTCACCAAAATAAATCTTTAATTAATATTAGCTAAATAAACGTTTAGCCCACCTGAGGATGCTTTAGATATTTTAAGTTGCTTTTGTTAACCACTATGCATCCAACCTGTCTCAAACAGCATTTTACGCCTCTTCTTTGTGCTGTCAACATACACATCCTCAGAGTTCATACTTCAGTCATACTGGCAAGACAGGTTTTATAATCTCTTCTCTAAAAAACCTTAACTTGACGCTTATGGTATCTGAAGATTGACTCCCAATAATCACGCGTAGATTAAGTGGTGCTTAGGAGAAACAAACACGTGAAATCCAGGCAGGCTTTAGACCAGCAAAAGAGTGAATTGATCATATCTTCACCCTTCGATAGATTCTGGAAAATTGGCATATTTACTGGCGCCCAACAATTGCCACATTTCTTGACCTGAAGAAGACATTCGATTCCGTCGACCGAGAAGTATTAAGACAGTGTTTGGCCACGAAAAGAGTGTCAAGAAATTACATCGCACCAATCAAGGTACCTTATTCGGACTCATGCAACCGTGTAAGAGATTACGGAGAGTTGTTATCAGAAGTGGTGTCAACCAGTCGTATCGGTCAAGGATGCTCACTGTCTCTATTTCTGTTTAATTTCATCATAGATGTACTGATGGAATTAACCCTAACTGACTTCAGCGACTGAAAGATTGACTTGTTTCCACCAAGGAATAATCTCGCTGACTGAGAATATGCGGATGATGTAATCCTTCTGGGTGAAAAAGCTGACAAAAAAGAGCAGAATCTTTTGAACATACTGGGCAGCAATCTTTGAATGTTCGACATGCGACACGCTCCCGTCAAATGTACGATGATGCTAAAGGGCTGGACTGGACAACATCGATCCACTCCTAGCTTAAAGATAGGCAGAAGTGAAGTGGTAGGGCGCGCTGACCACTTCACTTATTTGAGAATTTGCATCAGCCAGCCAACACCAATGGGTTGATCACTGAGGACATCTCACCATGGGTACAGAAGGCTCGTTTCGCATATGCCTGCGAACCTACTCTATCTGTGGTGTAGATGGGATATCCTGCTGGCTGTCAACCAAAGGGCGTGTGCGCTGCTCAACAGTTCTCTCTGTCCTCCTTTACAGCTGGCTGACCATTGAAAAAGGAAAATATGAAAAGGATAGCTGTCTTTGATCGTAGTTGTCTGCGTTTTATCTCCAGTGTGTGTTAGATGGTATAACAGAGTGAGTAATATTGAGGTTAGATGTCGGTCAAGTGCCAGGTATGGAGGGAAAATCAAGTGATGAGGTTTTGAAGCTACATCGATTGACATGGACATGTACCACGCATGTTTAGCCACCGCCTTCCTCGACGGTTAGTGTTAGCTGACATAGGCTCACGTTGGAAAAGGGCTGGTGGTAGTCAAACCAAAATATGGCACAAGTCCATAGCCTGAGCTATTTAGGAAGGTGTCAATTGCCTGGTTGGAGTCCTCGAGATGGTAAAAACCAGTGGCTCTAGACTTTTGGTGATATCGCTCAAAATCGTCATTTTCAATGGCTGGTACAGATGCATTCACTCTCTGCTATATCCATTAAATAATGTTGTTTGTTTTGTCACTATTTCCTCTCCCTCATATCTATGCTTGTTGTTGTTCTTTCGAATCTCTTTTTGTTGACTCTTTTGTCCTCCTTTGTGTGCCATATGGAGTGTGGCGACTCGAACTGCTGCACTTCTGTGCATAGTTCTATGTTGAAACCAGTCAGTCAATATGCTTAAATAGTGAAGAAAATCATCTCCGATAGTTTGGAAATGGTATTGTAGGACTTATCAAATTATCTCTGGTTTTTATTCCCTCAGGTATTAAGTACGATAACTTGATAAGAACGAATAATCAAAGAATTGCTTGTATAGTATTTGGCTTTTGATTAATTCTATAGATGTTTATTGTAGCAACTGCTGAGCGAGAGCTTATTATAAGCTTTTGTCTGGAATGATAACGACTAGCAGTTCCCATTAGGGATACTTATCTTCACAACTATGAATGTACTACTGGATATCAACGTTTGATTTTGGCATCTCTTAGGGATTAAAATTGTTACCAGAGAAAGAATTTGTTAGCTTAAAGTGCAAAGACAATAGAGTCATTTCATTTGAAAACACTGGCACAATCTCCTGAAACTCATGAACAAAGTCTGAACATATTAGACACGCAATTGGTCTCTGCTTAATTTGAAATAATGCTTCACAACTGATCTAAATTCACTTCTATATTTAAATGTAGGAAGTTAAGTAGGCTTTGTTGATTGTTGTGTTGACCACTTCACTTACTCAGGAAGTTGCATTACCATAGATGAACCACTACTTAACAAAACCTTCGCACAAAGACAAAGGTTGCTTTGGCATTTGAGGACTTACATCACGTTTTCCTGGTACAGATGAGATATCCTGCTATCCATTAGATGTTGTGTGTGCGTATTGTGCAACAGCTGACACTACAGATGCACAAAATGATCTGCGAAAGAAAGAAACTATAGATACTGAACCATAAGTGCTATTGTTCACGTTGAGTAGAACCATAGGGTGTGTAATAGGAGAATGAAATCCAATGTTAGGTAAGGGAATTAATCCAGTCAACGAGGTTTTGAGTTTTTACTAAGTAAAGTAAGTGAAATATTTATCACACATACCATGCCAACTTTTTAATCAGTTAGCATATTCAGTAACATAGGTTCAGTCTCGAAAAAGTGACCGGATCAAGACATAACATTAATCTACGAAGTCAGGGATTACTGGTTTGAATTGTGAAAGGGACTGTAAATTGGCTGGCTGAGGTCATCGGGTTACTACGAATCCATAGAGACCCTTAGTTCAGGGAATGGAGTTTCATATAACTTCACAGTCTTCCAACAAACTGTCCTCCATCTTAAATTGTATCTATTCTACTTTCATTACACTTATATCTGCTTATACTGTGTAAATTTCTAAGCGAAAAAAGATAACTTTTATTGATGCACCACTGTGTAAAATTCTTTGTTCATTCAGCGGTGAAGCCTTACTGTTAAATATCTTGGCGCTTTCCCAATTGTCGTCCTCATTTTCCATCAAATAACTAGAGAAATACCTATACATATATATATATATATATATTAACTGAATCATGAGATACAGTGTGGGGTACGAGAAGGCAGAATACGCTGCGCCGATCAAAAGATACTAGAACATCTCGACTTCAAGGAAGATTTATGTCTAATATTCCATAAACTCAAAGATCTACGGGAGGAAACCAACAAGTTGGGAGAACAGCCGAACAGCAAAGGTAGGGCTTTAAGTGAACACAGACAAGACAGAGATGATAAAGATACCCAATGAACAACAACAGCTAGCAGTAATCACCATCAAAGGAAGAAATCTAAAAGAGGTCACTTCTTTCATTTACCTAGACAGAATCACCTCAAATACATGTGGAACAGATGAGAAGGCAGGATGAAAAAACAAGACACATCTTCCTTAGCCGTAATCAGTGTGGAAATCCGATGCAATCAGAACAAAGAACAAGATACCAATTTTCAACACCAATGTTAAATCCATTATTCTGTATGGTTCACACAGTTGGCTTGTCACCAAAATCACTTTGTACGGGGTTCAAGCTTTCATCAACAGATGTCACATTCTATGGCTTTATAATGAAGATCAGATGACCAACAAGGACCTCTACAATACGGACCAACCAGGAATCAATCACCCAGTAAGTATTCGGACACACGTTGATAAGATCATTGAGTGCTATCCAGAGCCAAGCTCTCAGGTATAACCTAAGTGGAGAATGACGAGTCGGGCATCCAAAAGTGACACGGAGGAGGAAGCGGTGATGAGAGCTTGTGGGTTATCAAGAGCTAGCTAAATAGGTCTGCAGAGAACTAGGTGAAATGGAGATGTTCTGTTGGAGACCTGCGTTATACTTGGGACCTAAGGGAATAATAGTATCCACTGGAAGAAATCAGAAGGTGTGATGTCAGTCGAAAGGGTTTATCAAAGCTGAATCAAATGCTAAGTGAAAACATACTAAAACATTATTATGATAACGAACTAAATAGGCAACTTGAAAAACGCATTTTATATACTGTGCTATAATTTGCCATTAGCTTGAATTGGCCTGTAACACTACCTAAGCAGTAGTTAGGGAACCGAAATTCGAAACATAAACCCATTGGTTTAACGTCAGTTGTTAAGGCAGACTACCCACACTTCAACACTAAAAACTCAAATCACACTATGGTTGTTTGATTCAAGATTTTTACTTACGGTAGCAAGGTTACGACTACAAATATCATTTACAAACGTTATTGAACACGCAAAAGCAATTCTGTCATGTCCTAAGTGCATATTATAGCACTGAAGGTATGTTATTACTTTAGTTCTAAGTCCTTGCATCACTACAAAAATACAAGCACGAATTAAGTTCTCTCCTGTAATTTCCTTCCATTTACATTTACCCATGAAATATGAGAGATTGGAATGAAAAGTAATAAATCTAGTCTTATAAGACATTATCAAGCGGAAAGGGAACATCCATTCACTACACTTACTTTAATTACTAACTATTAAGATAAATTTGTTAGCTCTTTTCTACCGGATATTAAAAGCTATTAAATAACATTTGAGCTGTCATCTTTCACCCTCACAGCTGACTTAACCACAGCGTAAATCGCGTAAATCTAACCAACATTCATTTACAGTAATACTAGTCTTGAAGACCAAACATGCAGGTTTGAAAATAAAGTAATACATTTTTATATTTCAGGCAAATTCACCTAAAATATATTTGTTTTCGGGAAACTTTTCATAAAATAATTGGCGTCGTGGTACAATTTAAGCATCTGACACAGAAATGTCTGGGTGCTGATTTGTTCTACATTGATTTGCACCAAAAAGTCATCTACTAACATTTCTACACGATTGATGGGAACCATTCAACAATGAAAGTATTGTATATCCTAATATGTTTCCAACTTCTTATTAAAGTTACAATGTGCATTCACTACAAACTTATTATTATTCATCACTGCAACCCCAATCAATGTCTTGTATAACATCTGCATAAGTTATGGAGATCATAAAGACCACTGGGAAACTGTAGAGTATTTTAGACCAATGTCATATACTGGTATATAGTATTAATGTTATCAAAATAAATAAAATTTAGCCAACAAAACTAACTTGATGACAGGTAACAAGAATAGCTGTAAAAGCAACTAATCCAGTAAACACTTGAGCCCACTTTGTTTCCAGGAACAAGAACTGTTCCGAAACATGCTTCGATGTATTTTCAAAGTGTGAAGTATTTGGTAATTCAGTTGATAAAGCGCTTTGTGTATAAGTATTCAAGAACGGGGATGAAGTAATGCCGTCCATTTTGGTGAATTCAAGAATTCGCCATGAAGCACCACCTATGTTATCAAGATCTAAATAGGGGATTATAACAAATCTTCGTAGCGTCAACAAATTCGCTAAAATAAACAACTTACAATTAAATCAACGTTTGAAATGAGATATGAGATTTCATAATATTTAATTACTTTGAGGCCTTCTGGTCAATCTCGCCGACCATGCACATGGTCCGAGGTTCGATCCCTCGCCGACGCACACCTGATATCTATGGTCGGCCTGCTAAATTTGGGCTACCGATATCACATGCTGAAAATTTCATACTTGTACCGAAATACTGTGTGGAAAAAAAAATCATTCTAGATATTTATAAAACAGTTGTACTGTGATGGATGGACAAAACACCACCTATACTTAGTTGCACGCAGAACTGTTAAACTGAAGCTATCTCAAAACATTTGTCTAATAAGGGACAGTCGGATGGTCTGTTATCATAGCTCAGGATAAAACACCTTGTCAGCACAGAATAATGCGTAGTAATAATCTGGTCACCTCCTCTGGCTTAAATTTACCAAAAGTGGATCGTGTACCGTAAAAGTCACCCAGTACTGACAGGAGCACTCAGCGAACAACACAACAACTACGCCAGCTAATGAAACCGATTTATATATCAGTGTCCCTGTAAATAAAGCCCCACTGAAAAATAGCTGGTACTGCTGCTAAACGTAATAACCTCATCACGGTGAACAAATTTCGCAGGATTGAGTCTAATGATGGGTAAGAATACTGTGTATTCAATAATTCTTCTGAGAATAAGCTTGTCAACAAATCCACACTTGATAAGAAGAAATCCTCTCAAAACAAGTATATTTGGTGGTTTTCAGCATACTCCACCTTATAGAAACTTGGGCCCCGGAACCCCCACAGTCTTGCAACCGAAGCACCTTCCCGCACAATATTCTTCTGGTTATAAAAACAACACCAGGACGCGTATCAGTATGCCAAATAGCAGAGTGATGGGTAGACCTTGCAATGCTATGCTTTCTAATCCACAACCCAGCCCCAACCACCACTACCGGTATATCCAGTAACACACAGTAATTTTTTTAGATGTCCCGAATCACTGGTACGACCCATGGCACCTGCGATCACGTCGTCGCACTCTAACTCCAATGTATGGACACCCAGTTGTACCCCCTTATCATTCATGAACTCTTCCGGTGCTAACGCACAAATAGAACTAGGTTATGGTGATATTTTGAGCCAGTTTCTAGGATCCGGTTACTCATTTCACGATATTACTAATTAATGCACATCCCATAATCAATAAAATATCTGAACTAAAGAAATTAATATTAATTACCAAGCCTACTGTAGTTCTGATAACCGAATCATGGTGCTCATCCTCTATAGTTGATGTGCATACATGTATAGATGATTACACTATACACCGTGCAAATAGAGATTGCAAGCGTTGTGAAGGATGTCTCATATAAATACATAACTCATTCATAGTCAGTATGGTCGAAAATGAAATACTGAATGAGGTACGTGATTTACTCTGGATCGTCTTATATGGAGATAAGTACAAACTTCTCATAGGCTGTGTTTATCGAGCACCATGCTCAAACAAAGAAACTGATGCGTTATTAGCTAAATCGTTTGCACACGCCTCCCCGTTTAATACTGATTACAAAATAATTACAGTGGACTTCAATCTTCCAGACGTCAACCGGTTAAGTAGTTCTGGCCTCCGATGCCTTGACAAATTACTTGTTATGGATGGCAACAACAAGTCCAGACACCTAACCGTCGTGACGACATGTTGGTATCAGATTTTCCAGCAGTGACCATAGAATGGTACTCTGTTCTCTGCCTTTCCCGCCACTAAATACAGGAAACAAGCGATATTCAGGGAACATGATGTGCCGAAGTTACAAACATAGAGACTGGGGATCAGTCCAAGAACTCATTCGACTCTGTCAATGGGATGAGTACTTTACCACTGACACTGAGGCTGTAGTGTCCTTACTTTACAGGGATATTACCTTTTGAATGGATACTGTTTCTCCTACGAACGTAATGAAATTAAGTAGACACCAAGCTGAAAACATTCTAAGGGCATACCGCAAAAAATTAAGAAAGTTGATGAAACAGTACTATTCCGCTTAGGATATATCACTTCCGCACTCAATCGACGAGTTACTTGAATCTATCAAGCGCCTACGCTCTCGAAGGAACCTCGACGAAGACTTAAGTGCACATAGAAGTACCTTTAAAGTTTGTAACCTAACAGCACTTCTTAAAAAACGAATGCGTTTGACGAGGGACATATCCTACTTACTTCACTCCACAGTAATCTACAATGAAACTACCCTCATCTGTGAACTTTTCAGCAAGTAGTTTGCGAACTTAAGTTTAGGAACGCACACCCCTGGTGAAACCGCACCCCTTACCAGCTCCTCTTCCAGAAGCATAATGTTGACTGGTCAGTTTATATGATGAGCCGTTGATAGCCTTAGACCTTCTACTAGCACGGGATCAGATGGCCTTGCTTCAATAATTTTCAAAAACGGTTGGTGTGATATTCTGCTTTTACTTCTTAAAATTATAATAATAATTTATTTATGGAACAGAAACCAGCCATTTTTACAGTCATGAACATATGTACACTAATTAGAACTTGTAGAATATGTACTGTGATTTGTTAGATTGAGCACAGATTTATGTGAGAGAATCATTGAAAAAATGACCGAATAAGTCATAAGATATGGCGTCAGCTCTAAATTGTCAATTTCGCGTGGGAATTATGAATGATAATGTTAATAGCGGGTGGTAAGTAGTATTTTAGCATAGGCGCTGAAGTGAAACATAAGAAATGCAGAATGAACAATGGTCATCAGCAAATGATTCATAAAGTGTTCGAAAGTCTATATAATTTCAAAGTCACCAGCAAGTACACCATTATTGTGACCTTTCCAGTTGTATATGAGACCAACTTTGAACTTGTCAGCAGATTTCATTCTCAAATATGTCTTGAACTAAGTTGTCTCGCAACATGGTGTGCTGAATCCTGTCTAAAGTTGAACACTGACAAATGCGGCTGGACTTTATATATATATTTCCTATCTATGTAGGACACACCAGTTGTACAGGCATGGATAAGTATTATTTAAATTACATGAATTTGATTTATAGTGAAATTACATGGTTGCTGTCCTGTCTGAGATTAGTTAGTGAGTACAATCTGATAGCTACTCGTTCAGTGGAGCACATAAAGAAATATAGAAATATTGTCTTCACATTAAAAAACCCCGAGTATGTGTCGGATAAATTACAAATATTTGGGGAAAAATAAAGCTTGAAGTCAATTCCTCCATATAACTTTGTTGTGTGCGGCATCGTATCTTGTTCTTGTTTTATGTTCAGTAACCTTGACCCAACTCTTGAAGTCAACGGGCAAAATTTAGCCAAGCTCAACTCAGTCGTGGATTTCGGTATCAGATACTCTAGTCGGTGGCAAAGCGGTCAGGACACTCACCGACATTTTACATGGTCAGGGGTTCGATCCCCTGCCGATGTACACCTGATATCGATGGTTGGCCTGCAAAATTTGAGCTGCCGATATCACATGCTGAAAATTCCATACGTGTACCAAAAATAACGTGTTGAATCAAGCTGTAATCAAAAAATTTTGAAAATAGTAGTTTAAGGACTTCCGAACAAACTGATCATGCCAGACGTAAAACACGCAGGCACCTAGGTTGCATAACTCACATTTTATTTTCCTGCAAAACTAGGGTTTTATTATACAAAGTATGTGTCCAACCTATCTTAGAATACTGTCCGTTTACTCTTAGCCGACTCTGACAGAGTAACAAGCTTAAATTAGAGGGAGTGCAACGGCACATTACCTCAGGAACTCTTGGTTTAGAATCCAGACTCGAATACTTTGAGCGTTGCGACAGATTGAGATTAGAACCACCTTGGAAAAGACGTCTCAAGCTAAACCTTATTTTCTAATGCAAGCCAACTAATCTTCTCTTGCACTCCTGCAGGCCAGCAACTAAATCTACCTCTGTCATCAGTTACAATCTTATAAATCATGACAGCTTAGTTGCTGTGGAGCACTGTCAGACTTACTTGCTGGACAACTTCCTAAATAAGTTTCCAGTCATTTGGAATAGAATGCTAGCTAATGTGCGTGCTGCAAACACACTTCCAGTGTTCATCTCCTCAGTCACCAGACTGCTGAAAGATGACAATAAACTCCTGCGTCTGACTCCTACAGCCTCTTTTCCACCCTACATAGAAATTATAAGTTCACTACACGTATAATTTACAACAAGCCACAATTATAGATGTTGACATTATTGGGAGGACAACAATAATACATCACTCATTGAGCACTCTACTTTCTTTCTTCTGTGCTGCTGTCGTTTTATTCTTTTTTTCTCTTACCATTTTAACTTCTATATGACTTTTTGAATGAGAATAAAGAATGTAGATATTTAACAACTCACAATGACAAATGATCTGCAAACATTACTGGTCGCATATCCCACAACTGCCTCGTGAATTACCCATTACCTTCCACCGCGACGCATCCTGGATGACAGTTGTGGAATATTACCTTTATACCAATAAGAAACCCCAATAACTATCCGTTCGGCGCCAATAAATCCGGTTACTTAAGAAATAATGAACACATGCTGACGGTTGCATTTGAAATCTCACTGACTGACATGATGATAATTTCCAGCTACTGCATGCACAAGTTTTCATTTTATTATATGCATTAATTCGACATTATTATGGCTCCTGGCCGCGTATGGGCTGAAAACTACCAATACTGTAACAATACTTCTTTGTATGTTTAACTGGATACTTACTGCTGTGTTTCCCAGGACGTTCTTCTCTTCCTGAGATAGCTTTTAATCACGAATCAAACAGTAAGATCCTTTAGTATCTAGAGGACGCGCAAGACCTCATCAATTACTCTGCATAAACGATCAGGAGACTAGTTGCATAGATATATAAAAAGGCTAAGAGAATCTCAACATATATGTGTACTAGGTAGCA